CCCCATTTTTTCTTTTTCAATTTTGGCATTGGCATGCATGTTCACCAGAGAGAGACAGAGCGACAAAGCGAGAAATCACTTCTGTGGGGATGACCACACCATAGTCCTTTCCCCATTCTCCTCTTGAGATTTTGGGCATTCATTCATATGTGCCTGGCATGATTTTCAAGCCTCTGGATTCGGTACTTGAACCATGCAGTCAGCCATGTGGGGTCTAGGTGCCCTAACATCCATGTCACCTGCTGGCCCTTCAAATCTTAGCTTATTGGTTCCTTCAGAGATAACTTTCCTTACCTTTCTTCCAAAGTCATCTCTCCCCTATTCTTCTGTGTCCTGTCCTTGACCAGAGGGACATTTCATTGTTCTGTCCACTGTTTTAGTTTCTGTGTCCCTCCCCCCACCCAGGAATGGAAGGTCCCTAGGGAATGGATTCTGTGTGTCTCATCTGCCCTTATGTCCCGATTCAGAACCTGATTCAATGGTCCCTTCCATAAATATCTTGTTAAATGAAATGAGTTAAAGGCCTTCCTTCCCAGACCCACTGAGCAGATAAGCAGCCATTGCCAAGCACTGTTTCAGCAAATAGGTGTTTTCTTCCTGGGACAGTTCACAATGGTCCCTAGACAATAACTGGTGTAACTTGGGTTGCCTGTCAGTTCCTCCTAGATTATAACTTCATGAGATCAGGCCATGTCTCTCTACTTAGGCTTAGAACAGGGCTGGGAGGGTTCTGTGAGCATCAGTATGTGGTATCGTCTGCAGGGGCTGGGGAGGAGGACGTAGAGGTGTCCTCAAGCCAGCTCTGGAGTGTACTGGGGGACTTGCAAGGAGCGTGGGGCCCAAGAGGACAGCAGGGATACACAGCACCTCCACTAGCTGGCCTAGGCTCCCTCCAGCAGAATTTCCTTTTCTTACCCTGGCTGCACTCTCAGTCTCCCTCTTAGGGGCTTCTGGAAGCCCAGAAAAACTGGAAACATCAGGACCCAAGCCTGCCAGGCAAATAGCAGGGATGGGAGCCAGGCTGGATCCCGGGAAGGGCTGGAGCAGTGTGGGGAGCTCTCCCCTATCACCCTGACGTGATCCTGTGTTGTCTTTATAAACAGATGCCCAGGACGATAAGATGGCATCTGACCCAAAAGACCCTGACGACAAAAATGCCAATGCTGCCGGACAGCCGGACCCCGCCTCCGACCCCGCCGCCGGACA